TATTTTTTGCAATATTAATTTAAAATGGAATCTAATTTATAGACTAAGGCATTGCTAATTTACAAGTTTAGTATAACAAAACCACATCTAATTGACTGTAAATTTTACTACTAACAGAAACATAATTAATTTTCTAGTACATAGTTGCATCCCAGATACTTTATTAAATGTTCATACCAAATACTAATTATTATGAGGTTTTAAACATAATCTTTTTACAATAATAGCAATACTTATATATTGGTTTCTACTGCAATGATATTAATTTCTATATTTTTCCTTCTCGGCTCTACTACTTACGGGATCAAAACCCTAAACAAGAAGTCCTTCCACAACTATATTTAATGTATGCTTTTAACATATTTTCTCCAAAGACTAGCCAATCCAAAGTTGGAAGATTTATGTATTTTCTGTTGTTTGGTGCAGATTAAAATCAGATTTTTAGTAGATTGTGATAGAAGTTTTTGAAATTTGTGGTTAAAAAGATGTGATTGATATTGATTGTTTGACTTTGACTTAGATTAAAATCAAATTTTAATCCGACCCAAACATGCCCGTTTTGATAAAGAATGAAGAATAGATCATGGTTCTTGAAGAAATAGTAAACAAATAAAATCATGGATAATACCGAGCAAATGGATGAACATTCTCTAAATACAAAGAAAGGAGGCCAAAGCAAAGCCAATCAACGCCGAAGCGGACGACTGAATATATGTAGTTGACATGAATATTAAAATTATGTTTCATCATAGCATGTGCACAGCTTCACCCACGCTAAAGAAGTGAAAACCACAAATATTTCAATACTTAGCCCTTGTTTGGGCCAATTTTTTATTTTTTTTCATTCACATTCTTCTACTCATTTTTAATGATACATTCTTCAATAAAATAATATTTTCTATCACATCAATAATTTTTCCTTCTTTTTCAGTCATATATTCCCCATCACATCAACAAAAAAATGCATTTTTTTGAAAATAATGTGCACCAAACGGGAGCTTAAAAACACTTGAAAAATGCTAAACAGATGTAAGAACTAAGAAAAAAAAATGAGTTAAACTTGGATTGATTTAAAAAAAATGAGTACTGAAAAACAAAATATTCACGAATTTAACGCAAATTTGATGCCAAACTATTAACAGAGAAATTATAATTTATCTCTAAACTCTCTTATGTGTTATAAAAATTTTAAAAAAAATGGAAATTTGAAAAATCAAACCTAGTCTATTAAACCAAAACTTCATTATTTTCAAAAGTTTTAATTGATTCAAAGCCAATGATAACATTTTCAACTTTTTTTTTTTTTTATTTTAAGATTCAAGGGGTTTTGAACTGGAGCGGTTTTTGGACATCTTTTTTTCCAATGAGGCTCCTTGAAATTTGAGGCTCAAGGCAGTTGCTTTGTTGGCCTTGAGCCAGGGCCGGACGTAATCATATTTGTTTGAGTTCTATTTTTTTCAAAAAAGTATATTTTGCAATAGTGTTATAACTTGGAACGTGTAGTTAAAAATAAGAAAAATTTTAAATTTGTATGTAATATTACTTTATTAAATAATGTGTGGCTGAAATGACATTAAATCATTGTTCTATAATTCATATTGATGAAAAAACGGGACTCAAAACAAAAAAACTATTGAGATCGAGGATGAGGAATTCTAGAAATAGAAGAAATCCTCTTGAAATGATAGGTGATACAAGAACACATGAAAATCTCTTTTATTTAGCTCCCGTTCATTAGAAATTAAAATTCAGATTTTTAATAGTCAAAATCAACAATTAATTTT